AGTTCATCAAGAGACTTTACAGATGCAGAAAACACCTGATAAGATTTTGTCGGCTTCACTTCAAATGTCACCCGGGCTCAGCTTGCTACCTCAGCAGCTTGGGTACGCAAGCACGTATCCTCGAAGCGTACTATAATCTTTCTTATATAGATTTTCTCATGCAGCGACCCTTTCTTGAGCATATGAGCCATTGGCGAGCAATCAAATTGAGTAGATGTCGTGACATCACTGTAATTGATGGGGAGGAGGGGAGCGTGGGCGGAAGAGGGGGTGGGAGAGCGACGCAACGACATCCCCCACTGCGTTTTCCTGTACGGTGCCGCAAGTGGGCTTCGATCGTCTGCGTTCTACTAAACATGTGCCTAAGTTGAGAGGGAGGAGTTCCTTCGTTGCGCCTCCATGTGGTTCCCATTCAAATACGATGAACGTGCAAGTGTCACTTTTCAATTGCTGCATCCATAGTTGATAACGTCGCAATCAGGCGTGTCAGGGAGTCGGAATGAGCCTGACTTTTGCTCCCTTTTGCACCAATAATGATCGGTTAGTGATCGAATTAGCAAAAAAACAGCCAGTGGTGGAAACACCGCAGATGGGCTCATCCCAGCCCTACCCCATCTCTGAAACCGCCTCGACCGATTGGGACTTTGTCAACTGTGTGTATACCATTTCAGGCACAGATTGGTGAAGAAGGAAGTGAGAGAGGGGGCATCCACTGGATCGCACTCTCATAGCAGAACTAGTCCTTCCGCAGTTGGAATGAGAATTTTCAAACAGAACTAGTAGCTAGGAGCCCCAAGGTAGGAGGACCCACACTCAGCCTCGTTCGCTGCGGGTGCTGAAGCGTGTCGATGGGCTGGGATTGGCGCAGCGCCAGCCCGTTTTTCTTCTCAGTTCTCTTTCGGCAAGCGACAAGATTGTATCATATCATTCGTATCTGACTTTTCCACTGGTTGCTGTCGCTTACTTGCTCCAACAAGTGGCGGAGAACGAGCTGGCGTCTCGTCAAACCCAGGCTCACTGGGACGCCCCTTCATAACGCAGCAGACAGACTCTCTTTGTGCAGAGGGGGTTTTGTGTTACAGTCCTATTTCTGCCCTGCAATTCTCTTGAGGCCTCATTCACAACTGTCTCTGTTCCCTAATAGGTTTATCAAAGATAAGGGCAATGAAAAAGAAGTCAATAGTCCTCCAATTACAAGTAATTTACCTTGATTTAATTAAATTGATCAAATATCCCTAGAAGCATGATGCTAGATGTCAACTTCATACTCAAACAGCCATCGAGTCAGTAGTTTTCTTTTTTCATCATTAGTAGCAGCTGTGCCGTATCGGCTTTTCATTCAAGTGTTAAATCCGAATTCTTCCATATGAGCGCTCCTTCCATTCAAAGGACACATTTGGTCGTAAGAACGTAATTTCCGGTATGCATTGCAAGCGCCAATGAATAGAGCCGTAGTGTCGTCACTCATAAATCTCCAGCGACACTATTTTTAGGTATTTTCAGGAAAAGCCCATCATTTTTACTGCTTTCTTTATTCAGGCCGGTCTTCGTACACTGCACGAGATTGGACCCGAGCTCAAAAGAGCCATCTCCGGAAATCTCGAGACTGATTTCAATTTCGAAGATCCTGAACCACAACATCGGGTGAGTTCTACCGTGCTCCTTTTCTTAATGAATCCGGAACTCACTAATTAAAAAAAGAAAAAAAATCAACGAACCGCAGTTTGTCCCTCGCTAATGACATTTATTGGTACTGATTGAGGTTATAAAAATATGGGTTACAAATTGAGCTAGCAAAATCTCACTACAAATTAAAAGAATTGGTCAAGAGGTTCATTAGAATAAGTTTCTGACTTTGACTTTCTTGGTCATGAAGATCGTAAACAGTTCACGTATTTTGCAAACAGGGCACATCATTAATTGGGGATTTTGGTTACGTCGGTACGACTTCCCCCTAAAAATGGCGTGACACGACATCCCTAGCTCCCTTTCTGGTCGAACGGTTGAGCGGGAGCAGGATTTCCTACTTTTTCCCGGAATTTTGTTGCCGAGTATATAGCTCGTGTGAAGAAAGAAAAATCAAAAATTCCACAACTGGAAAACTTTTCCCACGCGACAACTTCTCTCAGAAGGCAAATACGACCCTCCTGTTATGGAAGCCGCAACGATGATGTGCCCTGTTTGCAAAATACGAGCCCCTCAAGTTTTCCTTGTCTGGTACAATCCCCATCCCCTTTTCTATCCCCCATCCAACCTGTCATCTTCCAGAATTTTCCCAACTCCCTACCACTTTTGTCTTTCCCGTGATTCCCCGTATTTCCTCCGAAAAACTGCCTTCGAGAAAGGTGAGGGAAGGAGTACATAGCACACTCAAGAGAGGAAGACCCGAGAAAAGCCGGCAACTGAAAACGTTTCTCCCAGAAGCGAATGCGACCCCCCCGCCCTTCCTTCGTCCACAAGCGATCGAATACAACCCCCCTCAAGAGTTCCCCTCGTACGACACTTCTTTCCCTTTCCCATTCCCTATCCTACTTACCATCTTCCGAAGTTTTCCCAATACCCTACCACTTTTCCGGGGTCTTCCGAAAATTCAAAACCTTCCCTTCCAATGGAAGGATTGGTAAAGCGCGCTAAAAGAGGGGAAAACCGAGAAAAGTTGGCAAACGATAACACTTTCCTCAGAGGCGAACATGAGCCCCCCCACTTTCCGTCAGCGATCAAATACGACCCACATTTGCCGGAGATTTTAAACGTACGACTGTCCCAGTCAACCATAGATCACAACGTGAACAACTAAATTATAATAGAATTAAGTTTCTGGTCCGT